CCAAACGAACAGGTATATCTGCTGATTGTGTAAAGTAAGGCATTTTGTAAACTAGCCCGCTAGTTAATTGTATGGACGTTGCAGCCTCCACTCCACCCTTGGGCGTAATCATTACGCCGAAACCGTAACGGAAAACGCAAACGTGATTTTCTATTGGACAAATTCAAGAAGAGCCCTTCCCATTTCGTTACGTTTGCTTCAGTTTGGTTCTTAAAGACACACTATGCAGAAATCTTTCCGCCATTTCCTTGTTGCTAAAATTGTAGTAGTTCGCCTAATATCAGTTTGTGACAAAACAAGTAAGTATAGTGTAGAGAATCATTGTACCATCTAAACCGCTGTGAAATCTTTTCCATAACCAAAAATATTGTTTTTTCAGCTGTTTGTAGCTGTTGTACAAAAGTAAAATATTCAGAAAACGAAATGTAAGCAGGGGAAACATAGAAATAACTCACATAGAACAGATCTACTGCTTCTTAGGCTTGTTTTCAATGAGCGTGACAGATCAATGAGAATGACAGATCTATAACTCATGCCTTTGCAGCTGAATGAACACTGTTTTAGGGATGAACCGGTCCACGGGGATACCAGTGTAGTGCCTGCTGCATACAATGCGTTAGGATGGTAAGATGAAACCATCAATATCGCCAATGACAGCTTTTGGGCTACATTCTAAACTGAAGACCATGATTAGTTGGTTATTGGAGTCAGGTGTGTTAGTAGGTGCTGGGGCAAAAGTGTGTCACCAGCCAGCCCCAGAGGAAGAGGCGAAGCGAGAGGGGTTACTGGGCCCAAAATCAGTTTTCTCCAGCAGGTGGCATTTGTAACGTTTTTTTCGCTCACAAAGCGAGGAGTTGTTGTTTGGATGTCAATGAGTATGGAATTAGGTTAAAACCAAATGGAATGGCTTATTTGATCGAATAGAAGTTTCATAATGATTAGGTTGTTACAAGTGTACTGATATAAGTAGGACACGTGTCATCCCAGCTACTTTGAGCTGTGCCTGGTCGTCACTAGTTACCACAGCCACAAAGTCATAATGCCCGCCTATTTCATTCTTACAGCGGCCACTAGAGTATCTGGTCAATATAATAGATCTGTGCCATCCCTTATCCCAGGGCCAGCGTTATGGTGGGGCCTGGCCCGCCATACCGTACCTCCTTGCCCATCCAAATAAAATATTTAAATATTTATGATTTATTTGACCAAGACGTGTCTACAGAAAGACTCGGTGCCCCTCTGTCTCAGTATTTGTAGCCCATGGATATGATGCTGTCTGGACAAAAATAGTATGGCATGTCATACTCTTTTTGGCCAGACAGCATCAGATACATGGGCTACAAATACTGAGACAGAGGGGTGCTTTTTCAATCGCTCAGATGCTTTCTCTGGTGATATGGTAGTTTCAGCCACTTGCGAATTGAAGGAAAGTTGGCGGGTGCGCTGTTCTGATGCTGGAATTCTTTTCGGATGAAGGTAACCTACTTGAAGTGTATTGTTTGACAATCAGATGAAAGCATGACTGGTTGTGTCTTTACTATAAAACCCACACTAGAACCGCTAAAGCAGTCATTTGGACTGCTCATGAATAAATAAATAAATGTATTACTCCATCCTTAACTATTCCTTTAATAAGTCTATAAAACACACTGTAGTTGTTAGAATCTTAATATCGCAAACAGAAGTAGTATTATAACCAGTTTTAGGAGGGCATGTCATTTTAAATGGTTTTCCCCCGTTGCCTCTCCTCCCGACAGTAGGGCCTGCGCCCCTCCTCCCAATAGTTGAAGCTGCCGTGCCCAGTTGATAATTCGCCTGGTTCACCAACTACTTCTCAGATAGAGTTCAGTGTGTCAAATCGGAGGGCCTGTTGTCTGGACCTATGGCAGTCTCTATGGGGGTGCCACAGGGTTCAATTCTTGGGCCGACACTTTTCTCCGTGTATATCAATGATGTCGCTCTTGCTGCTGGTGACTCTCTGATCCACCTCTACGCAGACGACACCATTTTGTATACATCTGGCCCTTCATTGGACACTGTGTTAACAAACCTCCAAACGAGCTTCAATGCCATACAACAATCCTTCAGTAGCCTCCAACTGCTCTTAAACACTAGTAAAACTAAATGCATGCTTTTCAATCGAACGCTGCTGGCACCCGCCCACCCGACTAGAATCACCACTCTCGACGGGTCTGACCTAGAGTATGTGGACAACTACAAATACCTAGGTGTCTGGTTAGACTGTAAACTCTCCTTCCAGACTCACATAAAGAATCTCCAATCCAAAGTTAAATCTAGAATCGGCTTCCTATTTCGCAATAAAGCCTCCTTCACTCATGCTGCCAAACATGCCCTCGTAAAACTGACTATCCTACCGATCCTTGACTTCGGCGATGTCATTTACAAAATAGCCTCCAACACTCTACTCATCAAATTGGATGTAGTCTATCACAGTGCCATCCGTTTTGTCTCCAAAGCCCCATACACTACCCACCACTGTGACCTGTACGCTCTTGTTGGCTGGTCCTCACTACATGTTCGTCGTCAAACCCACTGGCTCCAGGCCATCTATAAATCACTGCTAGGCAAATCCCCGCCTTATCTTAGCTCATTGGTCACCATAGCAGCACCCACCCGTAGTCTACGCTCCAGCAGGTATATCTCACTGGTCATTCCCAAAGCCAACACCTCCTTTGGCCGCCATTCCTTCCAGTTCTCTGCTGCCAATGACTGGAACGAATTGCAAAAATCTCTGAAGCTGGAGACTCTTATCTCCCTTAATAACTTTAAGCATCAGTTGTCAGAGCACCTTACCGATCACTGCACCTGTACACAGCCCATCCGAAATTAGCCCACCCAACTACCTCATCCCTATATTATTTATTTTGCTCTTTTGCACCCCAGTATCTCTATTTGCACATAATCTCTTGCACATCTAGCATTCCAGTGTTAATACTATTGTAATTATTCTGCACTATAGCCTATTTATTGCCTTACCTCCATAACTTGCTACATTTGCACACACTGTATATATATTTTCTGTTGTATTTTCTGACTTTATGTTTTTTTTACCCCATATGTAACTCTGTTGTTTTTATTGCACTACTTTGCTTTATCTTGGCCAGGTCGCAGTTGTAAATGAGAACTTGTTCTCAACTGGCTTACCTGGTTAAATAAAGGTGAAATAAATAAATAAAATAAAAACCCCGATAAGTGCCTCAACTGAACCTAAACTATACCAAAACTAATTTCACACATCACAACAGATCAAATAAATGAAGTGAAGTATGATGGTGCGAATGGATGAGTTGATGAGCGAGGGGAAGCGGACAATGCATAATTATGTAATCACCAATTGTAAATTACGGAAAGGGCGGGCCATTCTATTGTATTGATCTATTCTAATTATAGTCACTCCACCGAATCCAAGCAGTCCTATCAGTCTACTCTGGCCTTGGAGTACATAGTCAGTGAGGGCGTGCATCATTCACAATGGCAAGAAGACCAAAACAAATGGATGCACATGCTGCGTTAGCTTTGCTACCAAATCTGAATGAAAACGACTGATGGTGGGGAATAAATTAATCCTGATGACATCTGATTATTCTTCTGATTCTGAGCCTCAGTCTGAATTTACACCTCCGAGGCTTAAGTGTCAAAAAGCCAGAATGGTGCGCACTCAGAGAAGAAGGGACGGCACCGTTTGCAGAGAACAAGCCAGTGACAATGCTACTGTCCGATTATCAGCACAAAATGTTATCACTGAGAGGGCAGGCCCTAAATAACATTAGCAACAAACTCACCAGCGTCGTTTATGTGACATGCTCTAACTGATGCCATTGCATGAAGACCACACCATGTAAGCACGAGCATACAATAATTGACTATTTTTGACTGCTGTCTTTTCGACACTTACAGTATATTCATTAAAATGTAATTGCTTTTGTGCTGATTTTCACTGTTTATGAAGCACACCTGACACTTATAATGATGTTTAGGCTACTGATGTTTTCATAATTTGGCCGCGCATGTTGCTGGCGGTGCGTCTTGGTGGTTGGGGTATTTTGTAATCTGTTACCGTGTTCCAACACATACTTTCAGTTTCATAGTTATAACAAAGGCACTCCACAAATACAATTGATAGAACACTTGAATTAGTGTTTTTTGTTTTATCCTACAGTAACAAACTAATAAATGATTTTGTGTTATAAAAAATAAAAAAAATCTGTATATTCTGTTACCAAAACCTTCATAAACACAACCAAATGATAATTTTTGCGATAGCGTATATGAAATGTATTAATTACACTGTTAGAGTGTTGCAGTCAGAATGACTGCTCATTAGCTTGAAGGGGGGTCCCTCGTGGCCCAGCGGTTCTAGGAGGTCCCGTGAAAGAAACCATGCCCCTCTATGGAAATCAAATGCCCGTCCAACTGATTTGTTCTGGTGCCGGCCCTGCCTTAGTCTGGAGACCTGACATTGAATTTCATTGGATTCAGCATCGGGCATAAATGAGCGTTTGGATCAGGAAAGTTTCCTCTCACGACCTCTACAAGCCAGAATGTTACCAACCGCACAGACAACCGGTAAAGTAAGTTAAAATATAATTTGATTTAACATTCTGGCTTGTAGAGGTCATGAGAGGAAACTTTCCTGATCCAAACACTCATTTATGCTTGATGTAGAATTCAATGAAATTCAGCGTTGGTTTTCCAGGCTTCCCATACCTGATCTAGGGCTAGCTAGGGTATGTGTTCTACGTCTGGTGGATTTAGCTAACACATTACACTAGTACTTGCCACAGGGTTGGCTCAACTGGAAACACGTTTGTTTAATTTAGAGCTACAAGCATTTATCATTTTCGGCAGAAATACTTGTCAGCGACGTTTATAATGGTAACTAGCTAGTTAAGTAAACTGAAGTTTGTTCTGTGAATAATCTGTATGCCCTCAAACTTGCTTTTGCTCTTTTCACTCAGTTGACCCAGTTGACTTCTTTCATGGAGATACTGGCTAAGGAGGCTGTGGACAAAATCTACAAGCTATTCAACGAGTGCTCCTCTGTTCTGCATCTGGAAGTGTCTCGGAGTCAAACTGAGAATGAGGACTTGAAGAAGAGGCTAGACGCGGTTGAGACCGAACTGAGGACTGTCTTAGAAGGGAGTGGAGGACAAGAGAACATGTCAGCAAATGGCTGCTGCAGTGAAGTCAAGATCATCCACCAGTTAAAAGGCACACAACCAGGTGAGAGTTGGCATTATTTCAGATTAGCCATCAATGGGGTTTTAGATTGCTTTGGTACACTGTTACTAAAACCAGTACTTTTGAATTCAATGCTAACCTTTTTGATTTTGACTGCAATCTTTTTCAGGCTTATGCGCTGGTGATGCAGAAGTGAAACGATCCCCCATCATCCACCTGTGGAAAGGGAGAGTTCCCTCAACTGTAAACGAGGTAGGTCTATTTGCATAACTGACAATATTCTGTTAAAGGTTTAGTTCTTGGATAGCTGTCTGGAATTACTAGGGGATACAGAAAGTAATAACCTATTTACTTGTCTGTATCTGTATCACACAAGTATCATTATGCACCATTTGGTACCAGGTAGTTACCAATTGTATTTAATTATTTGAAGTGAGTACAAGAAGAAGCATTTAATCCCTTTGTGATGATTTCTGTTGTATGATATCATTATATATAGATCGGACTCTAAACCTGCGTTCCATTAAATCACTTTCCCTCTCCATCTCAGCACTCCAACATGGAGGACACGATCGAGTCAGTTATTATCAAAGAAGAAGGGTTTGAAGAATACCTGTACAGCAGCACCTCAGACCCAAGTCCTTTTATAGAAAGCCAGGCCCAGGAGTTGAGTGACCCAGAGAACCCTACAGAGGACCCAAAGGACAAAGGCGGCGACGCAGGGCCAAAGTGTTTGAGAAAGCCAAAGATCACAGGGGCTCGTCGGGCAAGGCCCAAAAATGAGAACCACCTTAGCTGCAAGCACTGCAGGAAGACATTCAGCAAACTGATCCAGCTGAAAGCTCACCAGGCCATCCATGCGGCAGCGGAGAAACCTTTTATCTGCCAGCAGTGCGGTCGAGGTTTTTCCTTTAAACGCAGTTTTGATGCACACCAGCTGCTTCACACAGGAGAGAGACCGCACACCTGTGGCGAGTGTGGTAAAGCTTTCACCCTAAAGCAGCTGCTCAAGAATCACCAGAGACTCCATGCAGGGTTGAGACCGTTCCGCTGCGACGAGTGTGGCAAGAGCTTTAACCGGGCCCACGGTCTTAAGATGCACCAGATCGTCCACACGGGAGAGAGGAAATACAGCTGTGAGATCTGCAAGAAGAGTTTCAGCATACCAGGAAATCTCCACAGGCACCAGCGTATACACACTGGTGAGAAACCGTTCCGTTGTGATACATGCGGGAAAAGCTTCAACCAAGCAGACACTCTGAAAGGACACCAGCGGATCCACACAGGAGAGAGGCCATTTACCTGTGAGACGTGCGGGAAGTGTTTCATTCAAAGAAGTGCACTGAAAATGCACCAAAGAACCCATGCAGGAGAGAGCGCCTTCCTCTGTGTGGTGTGTGGGACAGTCCTGGCTTGCGTCAACTCTCTCAAGACACACCTTCAGACTCACACAGCAGAGATGCCTTGTATGTGCTCAGTGTGCGGTAGTAGTCTCAGTTCACTCACTCACCTCAAATCGCACCAGCAACTCCACACTATGGAGAAGCCGCACAGCTGTGGCCTCTGCAACAAGAGCTTCAAGTCGGTCAGCTACCTGAACATACACATGAAAACTCACACTGGGGAGAGACCATTCACCTGTGATGTGTGTGGAAGGATGTTCACTCAACACAGCAGCCTGAAAACCCACCAGGCGGTCCATACTGGGGAGAAACCTTTCAGCTGTGAAACATGTGGGAAATGTTTCAGCAACACTGGGAACCTCAACAGGCACCAGCGGATACACACTGGAGAGAAGCCTTTTAGCTGTGACCTCTGTGGGAGGAGCTTCAACCAGGGCAACAGCCTCAAAGCCCACAAACAAATCCACACAGGGGAGAAACTTTACATGTGCGACAAATGCGGAAAGAGTTTTTCCTACCTGAGGAATCTGAAAGATCACAAGTGTTACTATATCTAAAACCAATAGGCATAGCCTCTTGTTTGTGATTGACCACACTTGGTTTGAACAATTCTCGGCATTCAAAATGCATTTATAGGTCAGTGAGTGGCATACTAACATATGAAGTATACTGATCAGATTGGTTGCCAAGAAAGCCTTTTTCAAAGTATTTAATTTGAAACATGACTTGTTTTAGAAATCAACTATGATTTTGAAAAATGAATAACCAGTTGCCTTTGTTGGGTAGAAGGACTTGAGATGGCTGGTGGTCTAGTAACTGTTCAATGGAGCAGAGCCTAATTTATTTGAGAAGGATATACAGTGAGGGAAAAAAAATATTTGATCCCCTGCTGATTTTGTACGTTTGCCCACTGACAAAGAAATGATCAGTCTATAATTTTAATGTTTAGGTTTATTTGAACAGTGAGAGACAGAATAATAACAAAAATATCCAGAAAAACGCATGTCAAAAATGTTATAAATTGATTTGCATTTTAATGAAGGAAATAAGTATTTGACCCCCTCTCAATCAGAAAGATTTCTGGCTCCCAGGTGTCTTTTATACAGGTAACGAGCTGAGATTAGGAGCACACTCTTAAAGGGAGTGCTCCTAATCTCAGTTTGTTACCTGTATTAAAGAGACCTGTCCACAGAAGCAATCAATCAATCAGATTCCAAACACTCCACCATGGCCAAGACCAAAGAGCTCTCCAAGGATGTCAGGGACAAGATTGTAGACCTACACAAGGCTGGAATGGGCTACAAGACCATCGCTAAGCAGCTTGGTGAGAAGGTGACAACAGTTGGTGCGATTATTCGCAAATGGAAGAAACACAAAATAACTGTCAATCTCCCTCGGCCTGGGGCTCCATGCAAGATCTCACCTCGTGGAGTTGCAATGATCATGAGAACGGTGAGGAATCAGCCCAGAACTACACGGGAGGATCTTGTCAATGATCTCAAGGCAGCTGGGACCATAGTCACCAAGAAAACAATTGGTAGCACACTACGCCGTGAAGGACTGAAATCCTGCAGCGCCCGCAAGGTCCCCCTGCTCAAGAAAGCCCATATACAGGGCCATATGAAGTTTGCCAATGAACATCTGAATGATTCGGAGGAGAACTGGGTGAAAGTGTTGTGGTCAGATGAGACAAATCGAGCTCTTTGGCATCAATTCAACTCGCAGTGTTTGGAGGAGGAGGAATGCTGCCTATGACCCCAAGAACACCATCCCCACCGTCAAACATGGAGGTGGAAACATTATGCTTTGGGGGTGTTTTTCTGCTAAGGGGACAGGACAACTTCACCGCATCAAAGGGACGCTGGACGGCGCCATGTACCGTCAAATCTTGGGTGATAACCTCCTTCCCTCAGCCAGGGCATTGAAAATGGGTCGTGGATGGGTATTCCAGCATGACAATGACCCAAAACACACGGCCAAGTCAACAAAGGAGTGGCTCAAGAAGAAGCACATTAAGGTCCTGGAGTGGCTTAGCCAGTGTCCAGACCTTAATCCCATAGAAAATCTGTGGAGGGAGCTGAAGGTTCGAGTTGCCAAACGTCAGGCTCAACCTTAATGACTTGGAGAAGATCTGCAAAGAGGAGTGGGACAAAATCCCTCCTGAGATGTGTGCAAACCTGGTGGCCAACTACAAGAAACGTCTGACCTCTGTGATTGCCAACAAGTGTTTTGCCACCAAGTACTAAGTCATGTTTTGCAGAGGGGTCAAATACTTATTTCCCTCATTAAAATGCAAATCAATGTATAACATTTTTGATATGCGTTTTTCTGGATTTTGTTGTTGTTATTCTGTCTCTCACTGTTCAAATAAACCTACCATTAAAATTATAGACTGATCATGTCTTTGTCAGTGGGCAAATGTACAAAATCAGCAGGGGATCAAATACTTCTTTCACTCACTGTACATCTGTAACCTTTCTTGTCTTGTGTACCTTTTTATTACTGTTGTTATCTCATATTTGTGAGCCAATGGTAAATAAAACTCCTGAAATGAGTCCTTCGTTTGTGTGTGTATATATTTTGAAGCATTACTTGTTGTTGCTTTCCGTGCATATAGTCCCTCTTACAGCTGCAACATAACATTGAGCAAATTAAAGGGTTGTTGAGGGAGAAAGAAAATGGTTTGTAAGGGAGTGGCTTGTCAGTAGAGTGCAACATGCCTGAAACCCTGATGAAGACAGCTTGCAGTCGAAATGTTGGTTATTAAATTATTGCATCGGAGCTGCTAGTGTGATGCTTTTAAAAAAAATTGCTAATTATCGGCTGCCTGCAAGTTGGTATCCCTCTATGGTGCCTTATGAAGTGCCTCAGGTATGACTGATATTTTGACAACTCCACAATAACAAAGACTCACATGGATATTATGTAACAAGGAGAAACAACAGGAAAGCAAACATATTTATCAGTCCATTTTTGTCACTGATATAGCAGATCATCCAGTTCACATGAAATTAATTAGAATTGTGTCAATGCATGAATTCCTCCATGAGCGGACTGTGGACTTGTGGTGTGCCTCCCATCTAGAGGTCTGCATTACCAGCAAATGTGTTCCCAAACCCAAGCCATACCTCAGCCAATGTCACTATGATAGAACTGTGCAGTGCTCTCTTCCCTTCCAAGAGAAAAGTGGATGTTTTAACTGTTTCCTGAATCGAGCCAAACTAGTTTAAAAAATGTTTTTATATGAATAGGCCAAGGCAACGCTGTAGGTCATGTGAAAAGAAGTGTACATGTGACCAGAAGATTATTATCTTCAGCACTAATAGAAGTTGACTATGCTAGGGTGATATGGTAGGGTGAAATGTTTGTGCAATAGATATTATGCCGGCACATTCATAATTCATGTTTGGTTACCTTGGGCACTTCAAATATGTAAATCCTCATAGGGTAATCAATTAAAGATGTTCCTAATATTGTTGCACACATTACATTGATTAATTCATTTAATTTGTGGTTATGGTGGTCTGCCTCGCACCCATCTATGATCAGCCTTCCTGAAAATCACAAGTCTACGTACAGTGGGGAAAAAAAGTATTTAGTCAGCCACCAATTGTGCAAGTTCTCCCACTTAAAAAGATGAGAGAGGCCTGTAATTTTCATCATAGGTACACGTCAACTATGACAGACAAATTGAGAAAGAAAAATCCAGAAAATCACATTGTAGGATTTTTAATGAATTTATTTGCAAATTATGGTGGAAAATAAGTATTTGGTCACCTACAAACAAGCAAGATTTCTGGCTCTCACAGACCTGTAACTTCTTCTTTAAGAGGCTCCTCTGTCCTCCACTCGTTACCTGTATTAATGGCACCTGTTTGAACTTGTTATCAGTATAAAAGACACCTGTCCACAACCTCAAACAGTCACACTCCAAACTCCACTATGGCCAAGACCAAAGAGCTGTCAAAGGACACCAGAAACAAAATTGTAGACCTGCACCAGGCTGGGAAGACTGAATCTGCAATAGGTAAGCAGCTTGGTTTGAAGAAATCAACTGTGGGAGCAATTATTAGGAAATGGAAGACATACAAGACCACTGATAATCTCCCTCGATCTGGGGCTCCACGCAAGATCTCACCCCGTGGGGTCAAAATGATCACAAGAACGGTGAGCAAAAATCCCAGAACCACACGGGGGGACCTAGTGAATGACCTGCAGAGAGCTGGGACCAAAGTAACAAAGCCTACCATCAGTAACACACTACGCCGCCAGGGACTCAAATCCTGCAGTGCCAGACGTGTCCCCCTGCTTAAGCCAGTACATGTCCAGGCCCGTCTGAAGTTTGCTAGAGTGCATTTGGATGATCCAGAAGAGGATTGGGAGAATGTCATATGGTCAGATGAAACCAAAATAGAACTTTTTGGTAAAAACTCAACTCGTCGTGTTTGGAGGACAAAGAATGCTGAGTTGCATCCAAAGAACACCATACCTACTGTGAAGCATGGGGGTGGAAACATCATGCTTTGTGGCTGTTTTTCTGCAAAGGGACCAGGACGACTGATCCGTGTAAAGGAAAGAATGAATGGGGCCATGTATCGTGAGATTTTGAGTGAAAACCTCCTTCCATCAGCAAGGGCATTGAAGATGAAACGTGGCTGAGTCTTTCAGCATGACAATGATCCCAAACACACCACCCGGGCAACGAAGGAGTGGCTTCGTAAGAAGCATTTCAAGGTCCTGGAGTGGCCTAGCCAGTCTCCAGATCTCAACCCCATAGAAAATCTTTGGAGGGAGTTGAAAGTCTGTGTTGCCCAGCGACAGCCCCAAAACATCACTGCTCTAGAGGAGATCTGCATGGAGGAATGGGCCAAAATACCAGCAACAGTGTGTGAAAACCTTGTGAAGACTTACAGAAAACGTTTGACCTGTGTCATTGCCAACAAAGGGTATATAACAAAGTATTGAGAAACTTTTGTTATTGACCAAATACTTATTTTCCACCATAATTTGCAAATAAATTCATTAAAAATCCTACAATGTGATTTTCTGGATTTTTTTTCTCACTTTGTCTGTCATAGTTGACGTGTACCTATGATGAAAATTACAGGCCTCTCTCATCTTTTTAAGTGGGAGAACTTGCACAATTGGTGGCTGACTAAATACTTGTTTTCCCCACTGTATGCTGCCTGTCAGTTACATTGAGCATGGCAGAACCTCTGTGTTTAGACCAAACTCACCAAGACTAAAGACCTTTGGTTATTTTCCCCAAGGTTCTCTGATGTACTCCATGCACATAATAGCAGAGAACTTGTCATATAGATTAAGGGGCACTTCCTAGCCACCCAGACACCCTTCAGCAGCACCCCACCTAGAATGCAGTGCAGGAGGTGAGGGACCAAACCTAATGTGTTCCGCTGTCGGGGTGCCTGACCTGACCCCGTGTTCCACAGTTTCCTTAATTTCTTTCCATTTAGGGTTAATCACATTCAACCTCATAAAAGGATGACCCAAGGCTCACTCACAAATGCTCAGCAGTAATGCTCCTCAGCACTTGTAGGCTAATGTACAGTGCCTTGCAAAAGTATTCATCCCCCTTGGCATTTTTCCTATTTTGTTGCATTACAACCTGTAATTTGATTTTCATGTGGATTTCATGTAATGGACATACTCAAAATAATCAAAATTGGTAAAGTGAAATGAAAAAAATAACTTGTTTAAAAAAAAATCTTTAAAAAAATCAATGAAAAATGCTGCGTGCATATGTATTCACCCCCTTTGCTATGAAGCCCCTAAAAAGATCTGGTGCAACCAATTACCTTCAGTTGCATGAAAGCAATAAACATAACCATCTGAAAACAAGAAAGAAACCGCCAAAGGATGTCACAGAAAACCAATACCTAGAAGCCAAGCTGTAAGCACTGTCAGCATCTCTAGGGGAAATTTGTTTCTGGGGCAGCATGCAAAGCTCACACAGGGCTTTAATAAGTGTGCAGGCTGTGAAATGGGTTGGCTGAGTGTGGAACACATGGGTTCATCCTGTAGCTTCTGGGTGTTGTTGATGATCCAGTTACTGATGTACAGGATGGGTGATCTGCAAGAGCAGTCCCAGGGGTTCCCCTCCAGGTGGAGGACCTTCAGGCTCTCCAGAGGCTCCAGTGTCCCATTCACAAGAGCACTGAGGCGGTTTGATGTCAGGTGCAGTTTCTGGAGGTGGTGAAGGCCTTGAAACATGTCAGGGTGTAGCAGTTCAATCTGGTTGTTGTCCAAGTCAAGCTCCTGTAAGTCGGCCAGGGGGGCGAAGACTTGAGGGTGCAAGGCCACCAAGCAGTTGTTCTGGAGAAGGAGTGCAGTGACACATCCTTGAAGGCAGCAACGGGCACAGAATCTAACCTGTTTCATTTTAGTCATTTAGCAGACGCTCTTATCCAGAGCGACTTACAGTTAGTGAGTGCATACATTTTTCATACTGGCCCCCCGTGGAAATCAAACCCACAACCCTGGTGTTGCAAGCGCCATGCTCTACCAACTGAGCTGCAGTTTCCACTGGTAACCTAATTCATGTTAGGTTACCTTGGGTACTTCAAATTGCTATGTTAAGTGTACAAATATGCAAATCCTCATAGGGTAATCATTTAAGGATTTCTGCCTCGCACCCATCTATGATCATCCTTCCCTCCGATCCTCATTCCTGAAAATCACAAGTCTACATTTGCTGCCTGTCAGTCAAATTGGGCATGGCAGAATTGTTATGTTTACCGACCAAACTCACAAAGACCTTTGGTTATTTTCCCCAAGGTTCTCTGACGTACTCCATGCACATAACAGCAGAGAACTTGTCATATAGATTAAGGGGCACTTCCTAGCCACCCAGACACCCTTCAGCAGCACCCCACCTAGAATGCAGTGCAGGAGGTGAGGGACCAAACCTAATGTGTTCCGCTGTCGGGGTGCCTGACCTGACCCCGTGTTCCACAGTTTCCTTAATTTCTTTCCATTTAGGGTTAATCACATTCAACCTCATAAAAGGTTGACTCAAGGCTCACTCACAAATGCTCAGCAGTAATGCCCCTCAGCATTTGTAGGCTAATGTATCTTTGACTCTGTACAGTGGGTACGCAGTGATGTCTAGTGGCATTTAGACTAACGAGCAGTTGTATCTCTGTTTGAGTGTGCGACTGCATGTCTTGAGTTGGAGAGAGTATGTATGTTTTATATCCATGGATGGGCAATTAGTCATACATTATGCAGTAAATGCCTAAAGTTTATTAACTCTGAACAACACTCTTTTTAGTCTAATTCACATCAAGATCACACATTATGGCAGATATTGTAACATATCAAGAAATTAAATGAAATAATTACTTTTATTTAAAAGAAAAACATAAAATATTTAAAAATATCATTATTTACACTACATCCACTTAAATTATTTACAATGCATGTGCAATAGACAGTTGCATGAAAGCAATAAACCATAAACATCTGAAAACAAGAAAGAAAACCAAAATGAGGAAACCGCAAAAGGATGTCACAGAAAACCAATACCTAGAAGCCAAGCTGTAAGCACTGTCAGCATCTCTAGGGGAAATTTGTTTCTGGGGCAGCATGCAAAGCTCACACAGGGCTTTAATAAGTGTGCAGGCTGTGAAATGGGTTGGCTGAGTGTGGAACACATGGGTTCATCCTGTAGCTTCTGGGTGTTGTTGATGATCCAGTTACTGATGTACAGGATGGGTGATCTGCAAGAGCAGTCCCAGGGGTTCCCCTCCAGGTGGAGGACCTTCAGGCTCTCCAGAGGCTCTAGTGTCCCATTCACAAGAGCACTGAGGCGGTTTGATTTCAGGTGCAGTTTCTGGAGGTGGTGAAGGCCTTGAAACATGTCAGGGTGTAGCAGTTCAATCTGGTTGTTGTCCAAGTCAAGCTCCTGTAAGTCGGCCAGGGGGGCGAAGACTTGAGGGTGCAAGGCCACTAAGCGGTTGTTCTGGAGAAGGAGTCTACGTAGATCACCCAGGGTGTAGAAGGTGGCATATGGGAGATCACGGAGCTGGTTGAAGCTGAGATGGAGCTCCTTTAGGGCACTTAACCCATCAAAGCCTGTAGGAGCCAATGCTGTGAGGCGGTTGTTGTCCAAATCCAGCATCTTGAGGCTTCGAAGCTCAGAAAATACGCCTGTGGGAAGATCTTCTATCAGGTTTTCATTCAACAGGAGCTCTCTCAGGTCACCAAGGGTAGAAAACTGCTCAGGGTGAATAGCTGTGAGACGGTTGTTGAAAAGCTTCAGGGAGTGGAGTTTAGCCAGACCATGGAAGATGGACCTAGGGAGAGACCTGAGGTGGTTATTGTCCAACTGTAGCTCCCTGAGGTACTTGGTCTTGTGGAATAGGCCTCTGGGAATCCTGCTTAGTGCGTTGTTGTCCAGGTAGAGTTTCCGTAGCCTCCTCAGGCTGAAGAACAAGGCATTGTGGTAGGTCAGCTATCTGATTGTTGGCCAGCTGGAGTTCCCTTAGCTTAGACACCATGTGAAAGAGCCCTGGTGGAATGTACGAGATCTTGTTGCTGTCAAGCTGCAGCTCTCTCAGCCTAGTTAGGTTGTGAAACAGGTCCTCTGGAAGGTATGTCAGGTTGTTGTGGTAGAGATCCAGGAGCTCCAGTCTGCCTATATATTGAAACACTTCAGAGGGAAGGGATTGGAGGTTATTGTAGCTCAGATCCAATTGACCGAGATGGGATAGACCACTCAATGAGTGTTCAGCTATTATGCTCAAGCAGTTATTATTCAAAACCAAAACCCTTAGATGGCTGAGCTCAGAGAAAGCATCTTCTGGTAAGAAGGTGATGCTGTTCTTCTGGAGGTACAAGCTGTGCAGCTGTGACACATCCCTCAGGGCAGCAACGGGCACAGAATCTAACCTGTTTCCACTGAGGTCCAGATGACTCATGTTAACTGCTCCCCTGAATGTGCCATTCCCAATGCTAACCAAGTTGTTCTTGGACAAAATCAGCTTTACCAACTTGGAGGAGTTCTCAAACACCCCTTCCTCAAACTCCACAATATTGTTGCTGCTCAGGTGAAGGTCAGTGAGTGCAGGGGCTCCACTCAGTGCCCCGTACTGCAGGCTGTTGATCTGGTTCAGCGTTAGAATGAGCGTCTTCAATTGACCAAGGCCTTGGAGAGATCCTGGGTGCAGGGCCTCCATGTGGTTCTCACTGAGGTCCAGGAAGGTGAGAGCTGAGAGGCCTTGGAGCTGCCCAGGGCCCAGTGAACCCAGGAAATTACCCCTGAGAAACAGCTTGACCAGGCTGCTCATGTTGGGCCAGATGAAGTTGGAGGTCAAGGAGACATTGAGGCGGTTCTTGGTGAGATCCAGGACCTGCAGCCGCTCCAGTCCACTGGTGGGGAATGCCTGGATCAGGTTGTGGGCCACATAAAGCTCCTCAGTACCATCTGGGAGGTTAGGGAACTTCTTCAGCCTCTTGTCCGGGCAGCTGACTGTAACTTTGTCCAGACATTCACAGGGTGAGGCAGGGCAGGTAGCAGCTACTGAGATGAGGGCCATGATGACCGTGCTTAAAATCCCCATCATCGCCAGGAACTAATGTTGATGTGACAGGGAAGAAAAGGGTGCCAATGTGAGATGTGAAACAAATATATGAAACTTCTGTTGAGCCATAATTCCTGTTTACCGGTACACATCCTGCTCAACAGTTTCAAGGTAATCTATGCATTTCATTGTTCCTTTCTTTGGATATCCAGTACAATGTCTTGTTAATTACTTGAAAATCTTGCAACTCTATAAACTTGTTGGATGCATTTGCAGTACAGAATGAAAACATTTCATCACAAATTCAAAATGCTTGAGTATGAGCCAAATTAAAAGTTTTAGCTTCACTGTCTAAGTAAATACATAGTGGAGTTTGTCTATAAACATGTCAGCACTGTGTAGCAATGAGTACATTATAATTACACTGTGCTTGCCAACTTAATAAATATATACAGTGTTTTGCAAAAGTATTCATCCCCCTTGGCGTTTTTCCTATTTTGTTGCATTACAACCTGTAATTTAAATTTATTTTTATTTGCATTTCATGTAATGGACATACACAAAATAGTCCAAATTGGTGAAGTGGAATGAAAAAAATAACTTGCAATCTAAGTGTCACATGATCTCAGTATATATACACTTGTTCTGAAAGGCCCCAGAGCCTGCAACACCACTAAGCAAGGGGCACCACCAAGCAAGCGGCACCATGAAGACCAAGGAGCTCTCCAAACAGGTCAGGGACAAAGTTGTGGAGAAGTACAGATCAGGGTTGGGTTATTAAAAAAATACCCGAAACTTTGAACATCCCACGGAGCACCGTTAAATCCATTTTAAAAAATGGAAAGAATATGGCACCACAACAAACCTGCCAAGAGAGGGCCGCCCACTAAAACTCACGGACCCGGCAAGGAGGGAATTAATCAGAGAGGCAACAAAGAGACCAAAGATAACCCTGAAGGAGCTGCAAAGTTCCACAGCGGAGATTGGAGTATCTGTCCATAGGACCACTTTAAACCGTACACTCCACAGAGCTGGGCTTTACGGAAGAGTGGCCAGAAAAAAGCCATTGCTTAAAGAAAAAAATAAGCAAACACGTTTTGGTGTTCGCCAAAAGGCATGTGGGAGACTCCCCAAACATATGGAAGAAGGTACTCTGGTCAGATGAGACTAAAATTGAGCTTTTTGTCCATCAAGGAAAACGCTATGTCTGACGCATACCCAACACCTCTCATCACCCCGAGAACAGCATCCCCACAGTGAAGTATGGTGGTGGCAGCATCATGCTGTGGGGATGTTTTTCATTCGGCAGGGACTGGGAAACTGGTCAGAATTGAAGGAATGATGGATGGCGCTAAATACAGGGAAATTCTTGAGGGAAACCTGTGTCAGTCTTCCAGAGATTTGAGACTGGGACGGAGGTTCACCTTCCAGCAGGACAATGACCCTAAGCATACTGCCAAAGCAACACTCAAGTGGTTTAAGGGGAAACATTTAAATGTCTTGGAATGGCCTAGTCAAAGCCCAGACCTCAATCCAATTGAGAATCTGTGGTATGACTTAAAGATTGCTGTACACCAGCGGAACCCATCCAACTTGAAGGAGCTGGAGCAGTTTTGCCTTGAAGAATGGGCAAAAATCCCAGTGGCTAGATGTGCCAAACTTATAGAGATATACCCCAAGAGACTTGCAGCTGTAATTGCTGTAAAAGGTGGCTCTACAAAGTATTGACTTTGGTGGGGTAAATAGTTATGCACGCTCAAGTTTTCAGTTTTTATGTCTTATTTCTTGTTTGTTGCACAAGAAAAAATATTTATACAAACCCTCCAAAAATCCATTTTAATTCCAGGTTGTAAGGCAACAAAATAGGAAAAATGCCAAGGGGGGGGGGGGGGGTGAATACTTTCGCAAGCCACTGTAGTTTCCCTGTCACTTACTATAAAATGGGACCTAACGGATTGCTTGGGAGTGACACAATCTGTCTTTCCAGTAGATTCCCTTATGTAAAATGTAATCATTAAAACTTTTATTGATTTAAGGGGCAACCTGCAGTTCAAACAATAACAAAGCGTAACCCCGCCACTGTTTTGGTAAAAAGCTGGGGCTGCAAAAATGTAACACTCTCAAATTCATGGATACAAGGAAAATTATAGTGTAAACCATGTTTTGATGCTATCCATTGTTTGTTTACAATTACAATGTTTACTAACAAAGGAGTAAAATAAGCTTATATTTTTGATTCTGATGGGGTACGACAGTTGAACTAAGCTAATGAGGCATTATATTCTTCAAAAATCAATGGGTATAATATCATTAATTTTTAAAGTCTAAAATGGATATAGCAAGGCAGATTGCCCCTTTAAGGAGTTGCATGTTTATCATGTTTTAGCAATGACAAAAGTGTCAAATGTGTGCATGCATTTAATTCTGACTTTGAAAGTAAGAGTAAACCATAGTTGCATAAAAATATTTAATCAAAAATGCTATTCACTAATCATAAATCAACTTACCTTTGAGGAGGAGAGATTCTTGCTGCATGTGATAGTTGTGAGTCATAAGTTGTGAAAGGCACTGAGATTGATAGATTGATTCTTCATTTTAAAGGTGAGGTTTTTAGGAAGTGTCTGAAACTTTTTTTCAGAGTATTACAATAGCAACAGAAAATAATTCCCAATAGGGCAGCGCAAATGTTGTGGTTTAGAGCCCTTATCTGTGACATCAGATCAGTCTCATATTTGATTACCACAGAAGACTAAGCAGGTGTCTAGATGTGAGAGATGCATGTCAGTACCAAGAAAATGAAAGAAACCACTTCAAAGCTTTATCTGTGACTGCACTGCAATCAGTCTAGTCTGTGTCTAGGGGTAAAGTATACTGAAACTATCTTGCTGTGTTTGATAATGTAGAAAATGCAAAAGGCACACACATTTTGATGGAAAATATAGTATTTGTAACCTTATTGTAACATAACATTATTATTGTTCCCTGTAGCTCAGTTGGTAGAGCATGGCGCTTGCAACGCCAGGGTTGTGGGTTCATTTCCCACGGGGGGGCCAGTATGAAAATGTATGCACTCACTAACTGTAAGTTGCTCTGGATAAGAGCTTCTGCTAAATGACTAAAATGTAAAAAAAATAGTAATGTACTGTGCTCATAGAGAGAGAGAGAGAGAGAGAGAGAATGCAGCAATGGTCTATTTAGCTGGTTTACTTTCTATTTCCTTCTGTTTTTTTAAATGTCCTTCTATATGTATTAGTTTAAATCCCAAGCGTATATCTGAGAGCCTAGAAGCATGGCAAGTAAGGCTATGCTAGATGAAAGGGAGACCGTCCTTAACAGGCATGACTAGCACGACTAGCTCTTTTTGTTTCGAGTGGCTCTTTTCTTTTTCACCCTTTTAAGCATCTTGTGATCAAGTTGATCTCATAATAGACACAGATATAAATGATAACAGTAGAGAGTGGGACTATTCAATTTGTGACCCAAAATGTGGCAAGAGGTTCATATAAGTGCTGAAATAGTTGCAACTTGAAACAAGGATGAAAATATTAAAGTAGTGTAGGCCTATGTGCTTCCCCTGCTGTTTGAAATAGGCTTCCCTATGCTGCACTCTATCATCTCTCTTATATAGACTACACAAATGGAAGAGGGATTTGGGGCTCAAAGCTGCAGGCACTCATCATGTCACAATTCTATGGTTAAAAGGGGGTTTTGCTGACGATGCACCAAAACACTGCCACCACATAAGCAAAATAACCATTGATAACCACAAGATGACGCCATCACAACAGTTATAACGATGCCGCCTGCCATGATGAGGCTACTACTCCACTAGGTGGCCCTCTACAACATACACAATTGCAACACAGCACAGAGAGCAAACAGGATGACATTGCAACTTCTCACCAACATGATGTTATCTAAAAATGTAAATCAACAAACAAGGTCAACATAGCAAGCAAAAGTATGATAACTATACATGAGATATTTAGAAACATAATTCCTAAAAAAGCCAATTTCAATGGTTTTATTTATTTAACCAGGCAAGTTAAGAAAAAAATCTTATTTAAAATGACGACCTACACCAGCCAACGCCGGGCCGGTTGTGATACAGCCTGGAATCGAACCAGGGGGACTATAGTGACGCCTCAAGCACTGAGATGCAGTGCCTTAGACAGCTGCACCACTTGGGAGCCCACTGGAAGTATGGTAACCTAACCAATTCATTATTTTGTTGCCCATATACTCTTGAAAACCATAATGTATCAAATCAATGGTCTATATTTGGTTCCTTTAACAATTTGCATTCAAATAAACAGTTGGACAACATCTTCAAGCATATTTGAATTACAGTCAAGGCTCATCAAATATAATAATGATTATATTGCCTGATTTTGTTCACAAAAAGGTATTTGTAAACTTTGAACAACAACATCCTGGGCTTCAGGGCCAGTCAGGATTGGACAGACGCTTGATTAAGGGCAGAGCATGGCCTCCAGTGTGCCTCCAGAGCTCATAATCTCTGCCAGATTAGAGATTAATGCAGTGGGGGGTTGGCGCTGCCTACCAACAGCTGTAATTAGAATGTTGAGATGACTAGCTCTGAAATACAGTAGGTCAACTGGAATAGAGAGAAGTTACAGTACTTTGTAACTCTCCTCCAGTGGTGTCAGCACAGAAACAACCAGTGTCCGAGGATATGTAAAGCATTTTGGAGTTTGGATAACAGCTGATACCATTCATGTTGCCATGTGATGTATAGGCCTATACTGAGTATGCCTGTTTTTTTTATTATAATGTAGAAGTCAAATAGTTGAAATGGTTCAACATTCTCTCAGCTGAAGTTGTAAGGTAACATGTTTGGAATTAATGGACTACTAATGGGTTATTAATAATTACTAATACTATTAATTCATGAAGCTGTATCAAATCAGATCTGCCAAGAGTCTTGAGTCAGACAGTGGGGGCCCTGTCGGACTGTGGACCTGACTGGAGGCGGTTTGTGTTCAGTTCCTCAGGGTCAACCAGGGTTGCAGTGGCGGGGC